AACAAGTTCGTTGAGAACTTACTGCATGTACGGCGCCACTTCGTCAAGGTTGGTCAACACGTATACCATGATATGGCGCCACTCTTCATGATTTAAGGTCTTGGGGGTCGATGCACTTGCACTTCCGAGTTGCCCTCGGAAAAGGCTGAGGTTCGATTCATTTTTGCCAGCATTGTAACGAGGGGGTGGATTATGCACGCTAGGGAGGTTGTCATCATAGTATGTTGTTGTGAAGTTCGCCACCTCCTCCAGAATGTATGCCTCTGCAATGGAAGCCCCGATTTTGCATTTATTTCTACATTTCTTTCGAAGAACCTTTAGACGTCTCTCGATTGGATAGCACCAATGGCCCTGCACGGGCCCCCCCATTCATGCCTCATACGAGAGGTGCAAAATCAAGTGCTGCATCGGATTGAAGAAGCCGAGCGGAAAGATCTTCTCCAACTTACAGAGCAACACAGGTGCCATTCTTTCCAAGTCAGCAATCACGATCTGAGATAACTCCTTGGCACAAAGCTGGCGAAAGAAATAGCTCAACTCTGCCAGCACTAGCCAGAGATGCTCAGGGACATAGCCTCGAACCATCGCCAGAAGAAGCCACTCAATCCATATGTGATAGTCATCACTCTTCATCCCTAAGTCTCGCATAGTAGATAAGTTCACTCCCCTCCTCAGATTATCTACATACCCATCAGGGAACATTAACGTCTAAATCCATTCTAGAACTTCCCTCCTTTGGGGTTTGCTCAAGATAAAATCGGCCTTAGGCCTTCTCCATGTCTTGCCGCGACTAGGAGGCTTCATATGTTGGTTTGGTCTATCGCATAACATTGCCAGATCCACTCTAGCCTTAACGTTGCCCTTTGACTTGTCAGGAATGTCCATGATTGTTGCCCAAAGTGCCTCGGCAACATTCTTTTCAGTGTGCATTACATCAATGTTGTGTGGAAGGAGAAGGTCATCAAAATAGGGGAGCCGAGTCAAGCCCAACTTATGAGTCCACATATGTTGCTCTCCATATCCCACAAAGCCACCTTCTGGATAGACCACGAGACCATCTATCTATTCACGAACCGCGGCACCAATCATTATTAGTGGTGCAGGGTCTGTCACTACGACACCTTTCATAAAGTTCTTGATGTCTTGTCTGAATGCATGGTCGAGAGGGAGGAATTGCCGATGTTTGTCGAACGATGAATACTTGCCACCCTTCTGCAACTAAATGAACCTCAGACCTTCCTTGCATACTGGGCATGGGAACTTCCCGTGAACACACCAGGCGCAGAATATCCCATACGCCAGGAAGTCATGCAGGGAGTAGTGGTACCAAACATGCATTTTGAAGTTTTTCTTTGTAGCTCGGTCGTATGTCCATACCCCTTCCTCCCAAGCACGGATCAATTCATCAATCACAGGCTCCATGAACACACCCTTATTATTCCTCGGGTGTCCAGAAATTATCAATGACAAGAATATGTTCTGTTGTTGAAAGCATACGCCGGGGGGAGATTGAGGGGGATAACGAACACGGGCCAACATGTGTATGGGGCAGCCATCATTCCATAAGGATTGAACCCATCTGTTGCCAACGCGACACGTACATTACGAGACTCTTTAGCTTTCTCATGATGAATGCCATCAAAGTGGGTCCATGCTTCACCATCGGATGCATGTACCATCCTATCAGGATTGTATCATTTGCCATTTTTGTACCATGTCATCTGTTTCGTGGATTCCTCGGTCATGTATATCCGTTGGATCCTCGGTATGAACGGAAGGTGCCATAGGATTGTCACAGGAATGTCAAGCTGCCTCTTCTGGCCATCACCAGAATCTACCCCCAGGAACCTAGAGGATTTACACTTTGGACAGTACTTTGCTTCCACGTATTCTTTTCTAAATAGGACGCACCCCTTCGGGCAAGCATGTATCTGCTCATACGGCATCTTAAGTGCACGAAGGAGTTTCTATGACTCGTGCATGCTCTTTGGTGGAAGGTGACCCTCCGGAAGCAGGCTGCTAATAACTGTCAACATACCATCGAATGCGTCTCGACTCAGGCTATACTGGGACTTTAACGCCATTATGCGTCCAATGGCATCCAGTTGAGAAACCTTTGTCTGGCTGTGAAGGGGTTTCTGTGTCGCGGCAAACATGTCGTAGAACGCCTTTGCAGTTGCCTCTGGCTCCTCCTCCGTACGTCCTTCAGTGAACTGTGCCTCGTGATAGTCATTTAACATTTCTGCTACCCCGGCATCAGCATCATAATCCTCGACGCGTGGTCTCACCACCTCCTCTCTCATACGATCGGCTTCACCATGGTATATCCACCGGGTATAGTCTGCCGTAAATCCATTCTTCCAAAGATGTTCCCCCAAGACCTTCTTCGTTTGTCTTTTCCTGTTTGCACATTTGCTGCAGGGACAACAAATTTTACTCGCTCCTTTAGTAGCCACGCCAAATGCCCGTTCCAAGAAAGCATCGGTCTTGTTGATCCATTCATTGGTGACCTGACCCTGACTTGCGCGGCCCGTGTACATCCACTCACGGTCTCCATCCTCTAACATATATAGCGGCGAGTAATATAAACATCAATTGCACCTACACGATGTTCCTACTATCTAATAGGTGAGGATAGGTCCTAATCCCACGCGCGGATCCATAGATGAGGTTAGTTTTCATGCTCTACTCCTATCCGAGACAGAATTTCGGCAGCACCTCCCCGCTGTTCTCCAAATACACGTCTTGCCAGGGAGAGTGTGTATCCGGAGAACAATAGGGAGATGATGCCAAAACTCTGTCTTAGATCGGAGCAGACCATGGAAACTAACCCCACCTACGCATCCGCGGGCTGTCCAAAAAACGTGGACAATTCGAAACAGATACGGTTTTAGATATGAACCAATGGCACGATGGCCGACATGCACATATATATGAACGACACGATGGCCGACATGCACAAGATTATGTAAGGAACACCTAGCAACGTAATCAGGACAAGCAACGATCAGGGATTACAAATTCAGGATCTATATCCCATTACTAATATATTCTATAAGCTATATTAATTTATGACAAACATCAATCCATGCATCCACAATCCATCCATGCTAAACCTCATATTTGCAACTATGCACCATAACCAGCGTCCACAAAGGCACCCTAACCAGGACATCTTAATCTATTCATGCATCCACATCCATCAGGTGGAGACGGCATAGGGGCTCACCACTGCAGAATGGCGACCGAGATGGCCGGATGCGGGTCGCCGCTGCTGTGGGGCCGCGCCGCACCCCAGCGACGTTGCTGCGGTGCCGCTGTAGGAGCGCGCGAGGGCGAAGGTGCTGTTGCTTCGGCGGCCTCCTTCTCTTCCTCCTTCCTCCTCTCCTCCTCCTCCTCTCTTTCTCCTCCTCCTTAGGCGACGCGGCGCGGGGGCGGCGTGGGCGCACGGGCAGGGGCGGCACGCGGGCAGAGGCAGAGCTGGCGCAGGCGCGGGCAGCGATGGCGGCAGCGCTGGTGCGTGCGTGTGTGCGTGTGTGCGGTGTGTGTGGGCCGGCCCAGCCGGCGGGGTTATATCCCCCTTTGCCGAGTGCTCCCAATCTGGCACTCGGCAAAGGTTTTTTTATTTTTTTTAATTCTTTGCCGAGTGCCACCTGGTCTGGCACTCGGCAAAGAGGGTTATTTTTTTTAAAAAAAATTCTTTGCCGAGTGCTACCGATCTGGCACTCGGTAAAGAGGGGTTTTTAAAATTTTTTAAAAAATCTTTGCCGAGTGCCAGCTGTCCTGACACTCGACAATTTTTTGACACTCGGCAAACTATTTTTTTCACTTTTGACCTCCAAACTTTTTGTGCAGTCCTTATACAATATTTGGTACTCCATGTTCCAATGTGGTACATTTCTCGGACTTTTTCTATATTTCTTTCATTTGTTTCATTTAATTGAATTCTCTTGGATAATTCAAATTATAACTGCTAGTCATTCGAATAATGAAAAAAAATGAATGGAAAAATGATATGCATGTTATTTAGTATAATGTGAGGCCGTATCCAGGAACAGACCACTAATTTTGAACATCTTGTTCACGAAACATGACCACGAACTTGCGGTCGAGTTGTTTTTAAATTCCATAAAAACCAAACGAAGTCCGAAAATCATGAAACTTATCAAGATATCATATGTGGAGGCTGTGATAAAAAATTGAGGAGGTTTCGCGCAAGTTTGTCACGTACGATGCTTACCACCTGGTCGGCCTCTTCACGAAATCATGAAACTTCTTCGGAGATCTATCCTGAGCGATAACCGATTTACCTTCTGTGAGCTTTAATTGATTTATCTTTATGAGTATGCTGGAATCGACTATTTAGTCGATTTTCTTCCATATCGGTTCTCAGAGCCGCACATTCGGGACTGTCTGGCAGCACCGGCACGTTCCGCCTTAAATTACTGATTAGGTTTCTCTCCTTGTCAATTGCATGGTCAAATTAACTGGCACGTCTCGAGAGAAGTGCGGAGGATCGACCATCCCTGCGCTGAAGCTAAGCGGATCTCCAGCTCCATCGAGCGGACCCTTCCGGCTTGCTCGTGTGCCCTCGGCACGGGTCGAAATTTCGTGCCGACAGGTGGATTGGACTGAAAGTTGAAATCAGAACTATGAATTAATTTTCTAAACATATTTGTGGATTGAGATGAATACGGTAACATCCTAAACATATTTGTCTCCTCGGAACTACGAAGCAATTTCCTTATGTACCAAAATACATGCCGTAGGGTATCAGTCTCTTATTGTTCCAGGATCAGACGTGTAATCTTAAGCCGAAAGCTGTAGGACGGTAATTCCTTCGTGGCACCACTTTGGTTTCTACAATCTTCTGTCGTTACTCTACGATACAATCCAAGGGCTATGACTTGTAACTTGTAAGCAAGCAGGCTGGTATAATAAGAGGACACCGTACCGATCCGTTGCTAAAGGCTGTAAAGAGCTCGAGCAAGTTGCCGATCATGGCTGCTTACTGGATCCTGCATTTGGCACTGCTCCTCCTATCCATCACCTCTCAGCAGGTTCTCGCGGCGAGGCCGCAGGACCGCCATACCATCAGCGTCCAGTCTCTGCTGTCTAGCTCGATGTGTTCTTCGGCATCTGCCGCTCCAGGTTAACTTGTGTTTTAAAGTCTCAGCTGATCATTTTAAGAAAGATTAATTAATTTGTTCCTCCAGTGTCTCGTCATGGAGCAGCTGCAAGCACCCTCCAAACCGTCCGCCGCGCGTGCCTGCAAACCGGCGACCACGAACCAGTGCCGGACCACCACGACACTACTGCCATCCTGCACCGAGACCGCCACCGAGTCCAGTCCATCCACCGGCGCCTCACCGGGGCGGAAACCACAGCCACCAGCATCCCCGCCCGTCTCGGCCTCGCCTTCCAGAGTCTCGAGTACGTGGTCACCATCGGCATCGGAACCCCAGCGCGCAACTTCACGGTCCTCTTCGACACCGGCTGCGACCTCACCTGGGTGCAGTGCCTGCCGTGCCCCGACTCCTCCTGCTATCACCAGGAAGAACCCTTGTTCGACCCGAGTAAGTCTTCCACGTACGTCAACATCTCGTGCAGCGCGCCGGAGTGCCACATCGGTGGCGCCCAGTAAACCAGCTGCGGGGGGACCTCGTGCCAGTACAGCGTCAAGTATGGTGACCAATCTGTGACTCGGGGTAGCCTCGCCGAGGAGACTTTTACTTTGTCGCCGCTAGCGCCGCCTGCCACCGGAGTCGTGTTTGGGTGCAGCCATGAGTATATTTCTGGCTTCAACGACACGGACATGGGTGTCGCCGGTCTGCTTGGTCTAGGCCGGGGCGACTCGTCCATCCTCTCGCAGGCACGCCAGGGCAACAGCGGAGGCGGCGTGTTCTCCTACTGCCTCCCTCCACGCGGGAGCTCCACGGGATACCTCACCATTGGCGCCGCCGCTCCTCAGCAGTCGAACCTGTCTTTCACGCCTCTGATAACCACTATCTCTCAGCTGAGCTTTGCGTACGTGGTGAACCTCGCCGGCATCTCCGTCAACGGTGCGGCCGTGCCTATACCGGCGTCGGCTTTCTCCCTGGGGGCGATCATCGACTCCGGCACGGTGGCCACGCACATGCCGGCCGCCGCGTACTACCCGCTGCGCGACGAGTTCAGGCGCCACATGGGCGGTTACAAGATGCTGCCGGAGGGGTCCGTGGAATTGCTGGACACGTGCTACGACGTGACGGGGCAGGACGTCGTGACGGCGCCGCGGGTGGGGCTCGAGTTTGGTGGCGGCGCGAGGATCGACGTGGACGCGTCTGGGATTCTATTTGTGTTCCCGGTAGCAGATGACTCAGGGCCATCCCTGACGCTCGCGTGCTTGGCCTTCGTGCCCACGAATTCGCCGGGTCTCGTCATCGTCGGCAACATGCAGCAGAGGGCGTACAACGTCGTGTTCGATGTGGATGGAGGCAGGATTGGCTTCGGACCAAACGGATGCAGTTGAGTCATTGAGTGACACACATAACTGACATGCTTGAGCAAGGCAGGAAGATAATTCCACGAAATACATGCAAAATTTATGTATGTTTATTAAAACGGTTTGAACTGTTGCAGCTCCTACATTTTATTTTTGCGAGTATTTGCAGCTCCTACATACTAGCATATCACATTATAGCAGTCATGCGACTGTTCAATAAATTAAGTCTTTAAACTGGTAAATAATGTTGGATGTTTTGAAAATAAAGGTAGTGTCTTTGGGGATTTGCTTTTTTTGAATGTGAATAGAAAAAAAGAAAAATTGTGGGAGAAGTAAAGCTAGCTTGATTATATTACTATAACAATGAAGTACACGTACTGCGTCTAAGCACACGAAACCGTGAAGACATTGCGCTGTCATTCCATATTCAAGGCTGTCCCATTCAAATTGAACCACATCATATACCATTAATTCGTGTTCCATTTGGTTCAAATTTAACCACACCATGCATTCGTCTTTTCATTTGGTTCAAAGCTATGAACCAAACACAACCTAAGACACGGCTCTATGAGCCATGTTGGTGATGCAAAGTTTTGCAGAAAGCCTCAGTAAACAGCACAAGACAATGAGCTTGTTGTCCCACGAGGATGACACCATGATGTGTGCTTCGAGGTGTACACAACAACTGAACCCACGTTGTACCAGCAAGGGAAAGGGATTCAGCTGCAGCGCACGCGAGTAAGCATGAAGCGCGCCAAAATCCATCCCGACACCATATATGTGCCTCGTGCGCTGTCCAGCCGCGCTCGAGCTCTCTGTGCCTCTGCTCTGCACACCCGAGCTCTGGCCTACCAAGAGCACCTGTTGCGGCGATGGATCGGAAGGGGGCGGTCTTGGGTACGCAGCCATATATGCAGATGAGAAGGAGACCATTATGATGGGTGGAGCCCTCGCCTCCGCATCAGCGGCCGAACGCATCACCGGTGGGTGGCCGGCTTTCAGGCCACATTTGCAGCGGAGGTTGCAAGAGAGGGATAACATGCTCCTCAATCATGAGGACAGGGACGATTTGCTCTTCAACTTTCCACGGGCGTGACGGCGTTCTATGCCTTCACGTCATCCTTCTGGTGCGCCTCCTGCATGGATATGCCCTCGAGCTATGGAATCGGTGTCCTGGTAAGCATTCTCAAAATTTGGTGCAACTTTGTTCCTTTGATTGGTCAGCCTCGCCCGAGCACTTGGAGAATCGTCTCGCCCTCGTGGGCAGCCTTCTTCCTCGACAACTTCGCCGGCCTAGCAAGTGCTCCTCTTCTTTTAGCCCGTGCTCCTCTTCTTTCTCATGCTCCTCACACGTGCGTGCAACACTCATCCCACTTGGGGTGACTCCATTCGTGAAATTTCTAGGGGTGAGTTGAACCCTCATCTAGAGGGTATATTGTCTAGTAGGATGGTTATGTCTCTAACTGTCTTCAAACCAAAGTACCAAACACCATGCGAAGGTGGAATATCCATCATCCCGTCCCTAGAACAAAACACTAACTAACTAACACTAAAGACTACATCATTCGGAAGTGGACTATATACGGTGAATATACTACAAATAGTGCCTAACTAATATTCTCTCAATTCCAAATTATAAGACATTTTTGTTTTTCTAGACATATTTGTTGACGTTGGAGATGATCCAAATCATACACCAGCAGGGCTAGCACGCCCAAGGGGGTTGCAAGTAACCCACAACACAGCAAGAACGTGAGCGAACCGACGAAACCGATCTAGAGACTGTTTAGGCCGATTTTAGGCTTGTTCTATGCGTAGAAAACTCCCGAACACCTCTCGGGATGACCCGTCGGGGAGGAGCATGTGGAGGGTGTCCTAGGACCAACAAGGCCGCCTAGAATGCCGCCAAATATCACAAGGAGACGTGACGAACAGCAAGGTAGAGAGGAGAGAGAGAGGGTAAAAGGGGTTTATAGATGTGTTTTTGATGATTAAAGGTTGGATCCTTCAATCGGCCGTGATCCTCTTATATATATAGAGGAGTTGGTCTTATCTCAATAGAAAATATCTTCAGATTGTGATCTCTAAGTTTCTTATGCGAAAATACGTCCAAATCACGATCATAAAAGAGTTTGGATCGGACTTATACAGTCAAACCGGCCTAGCCGGAAACCGGCTAGGCCGGTTTTATCGGGCACCGGTAGGGGCAAATCAGCTAGGCGCAGGGAAACCAGCCAGGCCGGTTGGGCTGTGCTGCAAGCAGGCAAAACCAGCTAGGCCGATCGGCCAGCACTAAAGGAGCAGCATCACCAGTACGGCAGCAGCATGGCAAAGCTTCAGTCAAGCCGACTGGCTAGAGCACCCAAACGAGCATACAGCATCAAGGGGCAACCATGGGGCCCAGCCGGCAGGAGCTTATAGCACGCAAGTAGCAGCAGACCTGGTCGCTCAGCAGAGCGTGTAGCACAAAGGAGCAAGAGGCCAGCGGCCTTGTTGACCAACAGCAGCACGGCAATAGTCTTTGGACTGCCAACAGCTAGCCAAGACAATCAGCAAGAAGTGCACGGCAATAGGTGGTCAGGCACAGGAACCAACCGACCTAGCTGGTTTCCCAACCGGCCAGGCCGGTTTAGCAGGAAACGTTGCCGATTTCCTTCTTTCTTTCTCCGGATTTTTATACAATATTTCAAATATATTTTTTGTAACCATATTAATTCAAGAAATATTGTCTAAAGTTATTTCATGCTTCCGGATCAATTTTAGTCGTCAACAATATTACTTTTGCTATATATCTAGACAATAGTGTATATCTAAGTGCATAGAAAAACTACATATTTATAAATATCAAAGCGTGTAATTTGGAATGGACGGAGTATTATTCAAAGACACTTTTGCCAAGTTAAAGGTCGTGCCAATCTAGAAAGCAGTGGCTGTTTAAGCTAATAAATGAGGATGGAGTCTGGCAAGACCTTCTACGAAGGAAGTACTTGTCTAACAAACCACTAACCCAAGTACATCATAGGCCCGGGGACTCACATTTCTGGAGTAACCTTATGAAGACTAAAGATGAATTCTTATCTTGTGGCACCTTTCTAGTGCAAAGTGGGGAACAAGTACGATTCGGGAAGGATGTGTGGTTAGGTGATAAACCTTTTAGTGAGGTTTATCCTAGCTTATTTCGAATTGTGAGGCGCAAAGATGATACTGTGGCAAACGTCCATAGATCTGTTTTCACTTAACGTGTCTTTTAGACGAGGTTTGGTTAATATAAATCGAGTGGCTTGGCTTGATCTAGTGTCAAAAGTAGTACAAGTCCATCTCACAGATGACAAGGATGTTTTTCAATGGAATCTCACTGAGAATGGCCTATTCACAGTCCGATCCATGTACTCAACTTATATCAAGAGGGTGTTCCCTCAGACAAAAGTCCTCTCTGGAAATTAAAGATACCACTAAAAATTAAGATTTTTCTGTGGTACCTAAAAGAGGAGGTAACTCTTACGAAAGATAATTTAGCCAAGAGAAATTGACAGGGAAGTGTCAAATGTTGTCTTTGTAGTTCGGTTGAAACTATTCAACATTTGTTCTTTTGACTACTACTTTGCATGCTTTGTTTGGAATACTGTGCATATCACATATGGAATTCAACCTCCCGCTAATTTCGCCAATATGCTAAGTTCCTGGCTACATGGTTTAAGCCTAAAACTTAGAAACCAAATTTTGCTAGGAGCCGCTGCACTGTGTTGGTCGATTTGGTTGAATAAAAATGATATGGTATTTAACAAAGCTAAACCTTATACATCGATGCAGGTAATTTTCAGAACGACGTATTGGATACGACAGTGGTCCATGTTGCACAAGGAGGAGGAGAGACTACTGTTCTCTGAGGGATGCAGAAGATGGGAGACGCTGATCATGGCCATCTTCACGAGGTTCGGCTGGAACTTCATAAATCGTATTCAAGCCTAGTGTTCTGCTTTGTTCATTGTGCCCACTAGTTGGGCTGATTTTTATTTCTTTCCTTGGATGTGTAAGCCTTATGGCATTGGTGTTTTCCTGTGACTATCAGCTGTGTATCATCTACGGATGGTAGAGGCTGGAACTTTATTCCATTATCTAAAAAAAATTATTTTTTCGCTTGGATTCACGTATATTGGAATATTCCGACTACAAATCTATATCTATCTATCTATATCTATAAAAGAGCCAACAAATTGAAAAAAAACATCATGCTAATGCCTCTTATCCATCCCTTATTGTGTCCATAAGATGTATTTTGAGCAAACGGTCGAAAAGAAAAAACTTCCTTGTCCCTAATGGCTTCTATGATTCTATCCGCCCCTTTATTTTGTCTTTAGGATGTACTCAATCCATTCCAAATTGTAAGACGTTTGACTTTTTTGACACCAAATTTGACCACTCGTTTTATTAAAAAATTTGTGTAAAATATCACTTCTTTCGTCGTGGTTTGGTTTATTAATAAAAATTCTTCAAGAATGACTTAAATTTGACTATATTTGCACAAATTTTTTGAATGAGACGAGTGGTCAAACTTAGGGCCAAAAAAGTCAAACGTCTTATCATTTGAGATGGAGGGAGTATTTTGTAATTACAATCGAACTCTAAACCTCCCGACAACCCGATCATGCACGGCCAAGTCGGAAACTCGTCCGGCACAAGCATGTCTGCCGGCAAAACAATCAGTTTTTTCAGCGGCGATTTCCTTTACCCGCTTCGGCTACTGTTGCTGTCGCTGGATGACCTGTTCCGGACGCTGGCCACACCTCTCGGTCTCGGGTCTGCACGCCTACACGTTGGTGAAGCTCAGGGCCGTCAGGCGGGCGCAGGGCATCTCCATCAGCCACTTCATCGACAAATTGGGCCGGTTCGGCCCCGTGTCCAAAGGACTTCCTCGATGAGCATCGAGCGGCTCCGCCTCGAGGAGCTCGCCCCGCGCGTCACCGTCATTCCGTTCCGTCAAGTACCTTGACGCCTAAATACTAAAATAGTACCATGAAGCCTAAGGA